CTGCAATGCGCAGCTACCTACCCCCCCCCCCAAGTCATCGGTGAACGAAACTGCGGCAGCTACAACCACTGTATGACGAGTAGGGGGTTCTTACAGCTGACAGTGATGATGATGATGATGACTGCAGTTAACTACGTTTGCTCAGCAAGGTGTGCCCCAAACGTTGTGAACATAAGTGATGATGATGATGATGACTGCAGTTAACTACGTTTGCTCAGCAAGGTGTGCCCCAAACGTTCGTGAACATAATCCGATCCCTATATTCACATGCATCTGGGTGTGTGATATCTTCTGGTAAGCTCCGCAGAAGCTTCTCTATAAAAAGCGGTGTCCGACAAGGATGTCAACTCTTCATTTTTGTTGAACTTCATCATTGATGAAATAATGAGGCGAACGTTGGAAGATCTCTAAAACCTCGTGGTTCAAATTGTTGCTGGTGAGTGCCGTGTCTATCTGAAGTGCACAGACGACATCGCCCTCATCTTTGAAGACCAAGGCGGAGCACAAGCCCTGTTGAATAAACTGACCACCGTCACACCACCTTTCGGCACGCTGCTTTCACGTTTAAAGTACAAAGCCATGCTTCAGAACGCACGATCTCTGGACGTACCTGGAATTTCAATGCAAATCACCGGAGGTTTCGGAGGACTTCACATACCTCGGTAATTATATTAGTTGTGACGGAAATCAGTGCAAGAATCTCAGAGGCCCGATTCATATGTGCTAATTTGCGTCACTTGTTGCGCCAAAAAGCATATCACTGGGTTTTAAGGCCCGCATGTACCAGGCCACAGTAAGGGCTGTATTCTTTCATGGTGTCTAGATACCGTCTCTGTGGACAGATAATATGAGGTTTCAGGTTTTCGACTACCGATGTCTCAGAAGTGGTGCTGGTTTCGGATGGCGTAATTAAAAAACAAGGATTTGGCCGTGCTACGGTTATTTTAATCGCGAGGAACATTCAGGTTCATCAACTGCGGTGGCTCGGATATGTGCAACGCAGCAGCAAATCATCAGTGTTAACACTGATGTTGACGTGTAGGATTATGTACATGGTATTCGGCCTATAAAACACTTAGGCAAAGGCAATCGGTGGTTGGGGCAGTGTATTGTAATAATTAGGTAAAAAGCCGGTGCTGGCCGGAATGCATACTAGCCGCTTCAATTAGTTTTCAGGAAGCGGTTTGTCAGTGCGGTGACAGTCACTACCACGTACTAGAAGGACAGGCATGCTGATTGTCGGGCAGAGTAATATCAACTGCATGCCCTTCTATTTACGAAATTTATTTGGCCTACTCAACTCGAGGTGTATCCTGAATTTTGGACTTTTCTCGGTGATTGCACTACACGTGTGCCATTTCGACTTGGAACAATACTGGGCTGTGAAATCGGATGAGCTTTCACAGCACCATTCAGTGCAGTGTCACTCTTTGCCCCAAATGATAAGCGGTTCTAGACAAGTAGACCAATGTGTCCTTTGTTGGAAGGTTCACGGGATGATCATCCCAACAATAGTGATATCGTTCAGATGTGGCACTTTCGGTGCCTAGTTGTCATGTCACCAAAAGGAAGCACGACGGCTGGAATACTGCCAGATTGCCCAAGCCTAGACACGGGAAGTCGAGATGCTTTACACTAGGCTTTATACTAGCTATAGCACATTTACTAGGCTCTGATAATTTGGCTACTCTATATATCCCCTCCAACGACTGGTTTTGCCCGCTCCTCTCGATATCCTATGGCCACATGTGACACTAACTAGGGAGCACTTGCCCGGTTCATCATCTGAATGTAAAAGTGAATGTTATTTCGCAGTAAAATACTTTTTGATCCACTGATACGTGACAGTACACAACAACTGTAGCGTCCACGTCAAATTTTATTTCATTTTTTGCTTGCTTCTTTTTGTTTCTCGGTCTCCGTTTTCTCGTTATATGATGGCAACAGTCACTAAATATCTCATGACCTGTGTTACCCAATCCTTTTGCGTTTTCTTCTAGACACTGTTTCAGAAATGTTGACTGATACTATGAAAACCAACCTCATAAGCTACAAGGTAAACCTCTCGATTCCGATCCAACGGTTACAGTACTCCTGCCGGGATACTTCTCCTCTGTCGAACGCGATTATGCATCCGTTCTGGAATTGGGTGACCAAAGTGCGTTCTGCATTTTTTATCCGTTTTGTAATCTGCCTTACCTATCCTCTCTCCTTCCTGCTACTGTAGTTCTATCCAAAGTGGTTGGCTCCAAACCTACTAACTTTCACTGGATTCCTCTTGACTGTGCTGCACTTCTTAATTCTGACATACTTCAATCCTCAATTTGATAATCCGGGAAATGTACCTAGTTGGGCTTGGTTACTTACAGCCCTATTGGTCTTTCTAGCTCACACAATGGGTACTGATTGTTTTACTGCTGCACCTCATAAAGCTCACCTCTTTCTTCCCAGATGGCACTGACGGAAAGCAGGCACGGAGAACCGGATCTTCTTCACCCTTAGGTGAATTGTTTGATCATGGGTGCGATTCATGGTCGATGTTTTTCATACCTGCTGCGTTGTTAACAATGTGTGGTTCCTACTCCAATCCGATGAGATTGTTCATCCTTCAGTGGATCTTGATTTGGACATTCCTCTCGTCCCACTGGGAAAAGTACATTACTGGAGTTCTTTTTCTACCTTGGTCTTTCGACTTTGCGCAGCTCGTAAGTGATTTTCGTCAAGAATGTGCGACTTGTTAGGCGATTTGTGTTCATGTCATTTGGTCCATCACAATCCTGTAGGTAAAAAATATGGAGTCTTTAGGCGTGTTTTCGCTGTTTCTGATGGCCAAACTACTGGACTTCTCTCAAGGGCGCAACTTTTGTTGCACACTTCGAAGAAAACCGGTAAAATTACTCATTTAAACGCTGTACTGGCTCAACTCTAGGGTATGAATGAATCTATCGTCTTTTTGCTACTGTTTGGAGTACCATTTTAACCCCTTCACTCGTTCTCTTTAGACGGACCTACTGGCTGCAACGAAAAAAGGAAGTAGAGAATATTCTATTTTTAGTAATCAGCGTAAATCTAACGAGCCTTGACTGGCATTCGCTGTTAGAAATCTACAAATTCTTTACGAAACCCTTCTGGCACAGAAACTGTTCTGATTATGTTCCTTTGAGTGATATTTTGCCAGGTAGCTCTGCTGTATGTCCTAGATGTTACCCAGGTTTCGGACATATCAAGTAGAAGCACACTTCCCCCACCCACAGGTCACGAAGGCTGCTCCGTCTCCATTGTGAATTATGGGATGAATGGCCACTCCAGGATTAAAAACAATAGTATCCGAATTCATACAAGTGTAGCCCGGTTTCCTGCTTCATCCATCCTCTATAGTGCCCATTATTGCTTATATGCGTGGTTTTGTTTCACACAACAGCTCATTGTCGGGTTGGTAGAATGTTTTAAACCAACGAGATGTGGCAGGTGATCCTTTATATTGAGCCACTGTGGACACAGCTTTGGGGATGAATATCGTCAATGTGCTTTGGCTATTTCGGTTGTTGAATAGGTGGAATAAGGGAGGTTTCCAAAGGAGAACCGCTCTTTTTACACTGCGCGGTCTTCCACAACCTCTTCTGTTCGGTAAAAATCTCCGACAGTATCTATTGTGAGAACACAGCATTTGTGTTGAAAAAGTCCGGCAGAAGTTTCTCAGGTTAAGATATGAGTCACCGGGTGTAGCTTTTGGCAACATACACCTCGGTTTATCGAAGCCCGGCATCCACTCAACTGGAGTGACCGTTTGTACAGGAACCCATCAGTATGTGTTGTAGAGGCTTCTACTGTAATACCAGGTTTTTATCAACCTGTTCTTTAAATTAATCTCTATTTGTGTCCTTCCAGGGTGTCATTCTGAGTTGTATTTTGGCATATAAATTTGGTGTCGAAATTTTCGGCGTACCCATCGTTTTTGGATTGAGCATGGCAGTGCTCTTCGAGATTACTCTGCTTGGTGAGTCGGTCTGGCATAAATTACATGTTTTTGTTTTCAGAAAAAGGTTGGATCACCCTCTTGAATACAGCGCCGTATCTGCGCCGTCGTAGCTTCGTTAATCGGTTGCGTACCAAGTACTTGTTCAGCAACATAACCCCTTAATGACTGTGTTTAACATCACCATCATACCTATACTGTTTGAGGCTCTACTGAAGTCTGCGCATGTGTCCGTCAGTCTTATTTACTCGAGCTTACACAACTTGCACGCAATCGGGCTCCTTTCAGTGTTTGTGTTATCACAACTATCTGCGGGTGTCTGGTGGTTCCAACCGCTACTGACGAACCTCTTCTAACGGAATCCAGGCCAAACCTCGGGAGGCTAGCTAGCTTAAAAACAGTTCAGCGGGATTACCCCAATATCTATGTCAGCGAAAACGGGATAATTTCCCCTGAATTAACCGTATTTTCTGTGTACGTCAGTTTGATTATATGGCCTCTTACTTACACTGCTGATTCTTAGACTACGCAGCTGTTGAATTTGATTTTCTGCTGAAGTGGCTGAATTTTTTGATATCCAGAATATTCTTTTCTAACTAGCTATTGCGTGCAAATTATCGTCATTCTTTTTGTTCCAGTATCTTTCTTCTTCGTTCACATTCCGTTCACGATGTACAATTTACTGCACGACTGTACTCCGGGCGTACCGTGGCACAGGGGACGTGGTTACATGGAGGCTGTTCGACCCACGATACCCATGGCTACTCTGATGATCATATCGACAATTTGGGTATTTCTGTCTCCGTCAGATATAATGAGTCGCCAACCACGGCTTTTCCTCTACGGCTTGTGCACTGTTGGGTCCAATGTCTGTGTAAGTCTTACCCCAACACTATCCGAGTCTAATTTTTGGGCCCTGAGACTGTTCAGTTGCACCCATAATCCCGGCATGAGATGGCTCTATGGCGTAACGCCTTGTGAAGGTGATGTGCATCCCATATGACTGGTTCTTACCTATAGCTAACCTTTCCTTTATCCAGTTTGGCGCAATTTTTCGGAAGCTGTATTTGCTTCGTTTCGTTTACTCATCCTATTTCCGTTTAAATTGGCTACTTTCGCCACATTGTAGTGTGAATTTAAATGGAAACGCAAAACGCCCTCATTACACCATCACTTGTTATATGTCACTCTCGCCTCCTTTTACGCTCCTGCAGACAATGTCCGTGTTGTCTATCGTTATAGTGTCTGTACACTAACAAACCGAATATGCTTGCGCTACACTGACAGTATGTCGTATTGCTATCATCGGCGCATTATGGCAGACACCTTTGCTTTTTCGCCGTTCATTGTCTGTACAATGGTCGTGCTGATCACAGTGTCAAGCGTGGAAAACGGCATCCAACCATTCAGTTGTTACATTTTTAGGCGCATGAATGGAGTATGACGTGTTTTGTTCAGGCCTAGACAGGAGCGATCGAGCTTTCACAGGTGTATTTTTGAGTCAGGAGCTCTTATCCTGACGCTTGGGCAGCCTGGCAGTATCCCAGCCCTCGTGCTTCCTTCTGGTGGCGTGACAGTTAGCCACCGAAAGGGTGCCACAGCTGAACGATGGATGGACCATCTTCCACCATCTGAACCTTGTCAACTCATCTTTTGATGCGGAGGCGTACCTCTAACCAAAGATCACCACATACACGTGGCTGTGATCGAACTGTAATTTTTTTTCAACGGAATTAAAAATCCTCACAAACGATTCGACCAGCAGCCTGATCAGCAGCGTTCTGTTCCATACGGTATATGGTTGTGTCAGGCCAACCTACCAAAACGGTCTTACAGGGTACCATAAGCACTTCAGTGTTTTTGAGGTCAGGTTTAGTTCACCGGATGATTACATCGTGCCGGTAAAAACCACCTCGACTTAGGACGTAGATGATATTTTCGTCATCGGTTTGGTCTGTGACACCTCACTTAATTTCATTGTCCTACTGCTATGGTCGAAATTTCAGCGTCTTACTGCCGCTGAGATTTTTTGAAAGTTGTTCGTTTCGTAACTAGAAAATGGGAACCTGTTGAACTTTCATAAAATCGATTTGGCTGTACAACGCTCCTACCTTATATGAAGCAGCCTCGTATGTCAGGGCACGTTTGAATGTTGGAGATTTCCCCGGTTACTAGAGCCTGTGTGAATGTATGCGTTCTGGGAAAGAGGCCTACGCCTGAGTTATTCGTTTTGTTTGATGGTGTCCCGGTGCCACACTGAGTCGCCATGCTGGATCGGCAATTGATACTCAGCGAAATGGAAAACGGTTTCAGGAAACACAAAAGTATGTGATCGCGCGTGCATCGCCACCATCATCCATTGGATGTACATATTGTAGTCGCTTTTGCCTTCCAACTTCACCGTTTGGATTGTACCAGAATCGTGTGTCTGCAGTTGAGAAAAAGTGTAACGTCGGAGTAAAACAAAAACTTTACATGGATCTAGTTCGAATCAGGACGTGCATTGTAGCTGTTCGAAATCAAGAATTCCTCGCAATTCCTCTTTGGAAGTTCATTGATTCATGGGTTGATACTGGGCTCTGAGATTTGTTTTTCCAATGAAGCACGTTGGTATGCTTCATTGGTGACTTGTCAAATTATCTTGTATTTTAATCAGTGAGTTTCCACTTCACCTCATAATCAATGGTGCCAGTTTTTCTCCAACCCTTTTGTGACATCACAGCACAACAATTCACTGGCTCTTTTGACCCATTGTGAGAAGGAATGGTTTCCACTTACCGAAGACGGTTTTGAGAGTGTTTTTTAATGGCAGCATTTTCACACCCTGCTTTACACAACTGAAAGCCTGTATCGATTTCCAAGGCTGGTTTTACAGGTTCTTAGTCGATCCATACTACTTGTCCGCGTAAGTCATCTTTCAGAGCTTTAACAATAAGACCTAGGTTGTGGGCCAAAACTGGTCAGTCACCATTGGTGTTCAATTTTTGTTCAACTACCTAAATCGTTCAGCACCCTTTCGGTGCTTAGCTGCCATGCCATCCGGAGGTTACACGAGGGCTGGGATACTACCAGGTCACCCAAGCCTAGACAGGGGAAATCGAGAGGCAGAGACCGGGTTCGAACCACGGACTTTCCGGTTAGTGAATTCGCGCTCTAACCAACTGAACCATCTCGCCCCAACTGTCTAAGGAGGTATAAATCCAGCACTTTTGACAAAGACAAGGAAGACGTACAAGCACATATGAGGTTTCATTCTTTCGCCGCTGTCAACGGGTGTTGGGGGTCTGAACTCATTGGTAAAATGGTTCTGTGAACGACGTGGTCGAAGTAGGTTTAAATGTGATAAATCTCTTTGTTCTCCACTTCCTGCGTTGTGCAGCTAGCCCAGTCCTTACAACCAAATCGGCCAGACTCTCAATTCGTCGGCTTGCCACAACTGACTCAAGAACGTATGATAGGCTCATGAAATACTTTCAGGTCCATCGAGCTAGAGGACAGCCTAGATAACTTAAAATTAGCGAATAGCACCAGTCACAAACAAGTAGTAGATACATGCCAACTTCGACTCGGCACCTGGAAAGTCAGTACCTTTCTAGACTAGACGGAGGCGACCAGCCTGAAAAGCAGACAACCCATTCTTCCGAGGTGCTTGAAGGTTATCGTACAGACCCCACTACTCTCAGGTAAACTTGGTTGGTAGGTAAAGTGAAAGTACAGGACGGTGACTGTACATTCCTCTGTTCTGAAACTTTACATACTATTTGATGGGAGTATACAGCTGGTTTCTCAGAGATTGGTCATATGAATGGAAGAATTTTGGATGCGCTGAACTGCGTCATTGCGAGAACAGTGATAACCCGTCTTATTATTTCTTCGACTCCGCCACTTTTGTCAGAGTGTATGCTCCCACGAGTTATCACCCTGAAGCCACGAATGGCCGTCATCTGTTGTCACATTGATTGGGTCAAATGGATCTCAATGCTCAGAACAGCTGTGACAAGCTGGCATGGAAAGTACCAAAGCAGCCAAGGCCCCTTGTCATCTTATTTCATGCTCCTTCCTCAGATCATGTCTTGTCCACCATGTGATACCTACCAGTCGGAATGTGTCTTAGCAAAAAGGGCACAGTGAGGCAATCGACCACTTGGTATATGGAACAACTCCAATTAGACAAGTAGTTTCCAAAAACCATTCGTCTCACTTCAGCGTTCCTAATTCGATGCTCTCGTCATACGTTCAATGCTTCGAAGGCGCCAGTTTTCGAAGACATGCACTCATCTGTTGTCCTTTACGCACAGCGGTCAGGTTCCACAACCGTAAAAGGACACTGGACGCACTACCATCATCGAGATCCCGCCTTTTACAGACAGGCTAATTTCATATCGACCAACAGGATGCCTGCGAATTTGGGGCTTCTAGCATTCTCTTCATCGGCAATAATGCTATCCAACGTGATACGGCTATGCAGCTTGGCAAACTCGTCCACTATCTCTAGTGCTTCTGATGCCATGACCAGCTTTGGTGGTCTCCTATACCGAAGAGGGTGGTTTGATTGGGTTATCCAACTTTGAGCCTTCGATACAAGAATCTGCTCCACATTATAATGGGAAAAGGCTGGTCTTTGTTCCAGGGCACTACCCGTAACTTCATTCAGAAGTCTGACTCCCGAAGTATCAGTTGCTAATATGAGATCTAATGGCAACGATTTGACCTATTGGGCTGTGGGAAAGTTGTGAAACCTGAGGGCGTATGGAGTAGAGAATAAATGTCTGACCCCCTACCACTCTACTGTGGCTGCTTACTTCAGGCGCCTTCTGAACAGCACCGGAATGTCTGGATTTTGACTGTTGAATAATGCTTGGGCGGTAACTGCCAGTCATTGGCTGTTCGGAGTGGGTGGTCTTTAGAGCCGACCTTTTCCAACCCATCCTTCCTCGGAGAACGGAGCATCACTGCTTTCTTAAGTATAGTCATACTAATTGTCTGGAGGAACCGCCTTACTGTCTTCACAATCCCAACGCAGAACATCTTGTGATACTACCGCTCTTACGGGGACTAGCTGCTGTTTGCTCGGTTGCCCCCTTTTGGCTCTCTTGGCATGACCTCATTGAGACAAAAGTTCTTGACAACGCTTTGCCGACCCTCTTATTTGGCTGATCAAATTCGGAAACTTTCCTGGGTTCAAAAGAGTGTGGTACAATACTGAAGAATCTCTCTACCACGCCTGCAGTCTATGCGTTCCTTGCAGGTGCTTTTCAAACATTCACAGGTTTCCGCTTTTCAGCGTACGAAGAGGATTTGATGTATTGCAGACTCAAGTCTGACTTGAGAAGATTGCATCAACGGATATAGATAGAGCAGATTCGTTTGGGGCAAAACGTTTGAGCACGTTGGACCAGTTTCTTCCACTTGTGCCACACCAAAAGTACCACTCGACGCCTGAGCACTACCAAGCGGTTAGACAGTTGCGTAGACACCCAGACAAGGACTAGCGAGTTGTTTAAGTTGTTTGTTCGCATACCTAGCCGATGTTTGCTTGACTCTACCGTCTTATTGTGAAATGACGGTGCTAGTAGCCGTCCGCTTGCTGGTCTTCCGCCCGACAGTAGTGCGGTATCCCCCTGGTATCCAACCGATGAAGCCATCACCGTAGCGAAGAGCCACTGCTGGTGCTTTCATGCTTAGGCTGGTGGATATTTCAATGGGCTTATCCGGACAGTCCTTTCCTCACAGATTCACGTCAACATCTGTGACATACACACATTTGGCTCCGTGGCAACCGCTTTCATTTTATCTCCCAACCTGAGGCTTCCAATGGATCAACTGCTATTGGTCGGCAGGTTGTTTTCAGTCTTATGTATACAGAAATCTGTACAATGGAATAATTGAAAGTAAAACGCGCCCTTTCTTTGTGAAAAGGGAGAATGGTGGTCGAAAAAACACGGGTTGAAAAACAGTGTGCTGCTGGACTCCGTACTCAATCAATGATATCCAGTTTGTTACATTTACCGCCTGTTTTCTATGCGGAATAAGACATTTCACGCGCTGATTTACAATGTCCCTTATGAATCCACTCCTTTTTAGGCCTAAAACGCATCTAAGGTGGTCTACTGGATACTTACCATCTCGAGTGTGGTGTGGACGCATTGTCATTCATTCCAATCTTGAAGCATCAGCTAAATATCCCGAATAACTCACTTCATCGTTCACGTGTGTGTAGTCTAAAGGAATACACGGATCCATGATTCGAACCCGGTGGTAGTCCTCAATAAGGATGAATCATCGGTCCACTACTTCACTGATTATGGTATGGTGAAATTTCATGCAAAATGTGTCAGTTATTTTGCGTTGACCTCACTGTCCAGTGGTTGTTGTTACCAGTACCCTTCACCACTTGCAGAAGCTCGAAGACGCTATTTAGTTACTCATCCGGTGGTCAGAACAACAGCATAGCACACAGTTGCTTGTAAACGCACCGACCCAAGTACTCCATTGGATTCTCTCAGCTGACACCATTACAAAATTAGCTGCATTTATTCAGTTTGAATACAGCTCAAACATTTAACTTTTTGGCTTCTTGGTTTTCTTCAATTGACCTTAGTCATTAACCAACTTATCCCCCCTCGTCATCCGTACTTTTTAGTGTCATCTGATAATGGCACAACTGTGTAAGATTCGTGCTCCGCTCCTCAACTGGTTGGTGGTTGTCTACTCGTGTTTCGCCTTGACACTGTGTGCTTTCCGCTTTAACGGATGGGCCCTATCGCTGGAGCTTCCGGCACTTGCCCTACTCTGCCTGGTTGTCACGATCGAGCACGTGCATTACGCTTACAAAGTGGTGAGTGGCCACCTGGTTGTTTCCTGTCTTTGCTGCATGTAATGTTCGCTTACTTGTTTATGTGTAGTCATCACACCAACAGCGACACCAGGGCAGAGCACTGATGGTTCGCTACCGTGCAACCATTTCAATTTGTTTGGATAAAGTCTTTTGAGAGAATGAAGCATCAACCTCACCCAAGCAATTAGAAACCGTATGATAGGAAGAAGGTAGTAGCTCGAGTTGTGGAGTTCTTCGTTGAATTGTCAGCGTAACTTGGCAATTCGGATGCTACAAAACTGTTAATCTCAGTGAACAGTTGAACCACATGGTGGCAACCGTTGTTGGAATCTAGGTTAGTCGAACTGGATTGCTGTTTATATCCTAATACCATGTACATCGAGCTCGGCAATAATGAGGTTCCTTCTTGAGTTAAAGGTTCAGTAATGGTCACTGAACCCAGATGTTTAACCGCTTTAGATGCACTATTTCAATGAGTGCAGTCTGGGTCACTAACAGTTGGTACCCTGTACCAGTTGGTTTCGTCCGTGTGCTGTTTGGCTATACTCGGTAGTTGCAATTCGGCACGTGGAGGAGGATATTCCCATACCACTTCCACTGTTTTTCAACCCGCTGACGATGAATTTCTGGTGATCACCTTCCAATGATAGCTGGAAAGCTTGCTTATATTGTATTACCATAGTTCGCATCTTGCAGCAGTAGATCCCTCTGTTGAATGTAGTGAACCGATCAGGAAGTGTACAAGGTTTCTGGTGTTTCTTTTCCTTTGTGAAATCGCTCTGTTAGTGATTATGTCTGTCTAATATGACCACCAACGTGGGGTCAACCTTTACACTGCGCAACCACAAATCAGGCCACATATTACTCGGTATTTGACGTCCGTTCTTGTTGTTCTCTACCTCGCCGTCAGGAGCTTACTCAGATGCACCAGTTACCTCGCCACATCCTTCCGTCATTTCCATCTACATTCAGGTTTCAGAAATCTCCATCGCACTCAATGTCCCGGTATTTCGATTGAAGACTGACGAGTGAGATTCCCTTCCGTGCGCATACACAGTATTCGTATCTTGCCTCAGCTGATGCAAAGTCGATATCAGGAATTCTATCAGTTTATGTAAATCTTACCTAGCGCATCTTTTTTTAATCTTAACTACATCTGCACACATACTATCTGCGGTATTTCTCGCTTTTTCTCACGGATTTTTGATCACTTACTGCATTTTCTGACCAAAGGACCGACCTTTTTCTACTGATCTCGCTTATTACTTCTGAATGTTTTCTCTTCCCGGTCCTTCACTTAGGATCTCACTTTTCATGTCCTTACGAGAAAGAGGCTGCGTATGTCTTACCCGTTTGTAAACCAATAAATGTGTGACTCCTGAGTTGTGTGTTGTTTCTTTCACGACATATTCCCTGATTGATTCATTTTTTCCTCGTCATCTGTGAACGCGTGACGATTTCGTTATTGCCCCGTAGGGCTGTGGATTTTGTTCTATCCGTCTAGGTGAAATCAAATTATTCCGCTGATGTAACGTGGACATCATTCAAATCGAAGCTCATTTCATTATTTTTGGGCGGAAGCCGTGTGTCAGAGTAGCGCCGGCTCCACATAGTACAGTCTGGTTCGCCGGGAGTAGCAATGATGTGCCCTTATTGGTGGCGACGGGCTGATCAACTGGTCGATGTTTAGTCCTCCTACGTTTATGCCTAAATGAGCATTGTACAACTACTTTATCCTTGTTGCAAATCATCTCCACCGCTGGCTGTCTTTTCGCTGTGATCAGTTATCTCGTCCCGCAATGTATTTGGCATCTTAACCTTGTTGAATCTGAGGTGAACCTGGAATAGCTAGGATGTAGTCCCGCTGAGGGCCTGCACAAACTCAGCTGGACTGAAATGCTAGTTTCCTTAATCAGATAGGCGGCGGTTCTGTTAGTCAGATGTTTGTTCTATCAGGTTAAGGTGCTAAAGGGATGACTGAGAATCTAACACTCTAGTCGGACAGGGGTAAGTGATCCCATTTAGCTGGTCTGTCACTTTGATCTGGTCACTGCTTTGGTCTCAGTGTTTGTTTTCTATCGTGATGAAAATACCCCTCTCGGAGGAATCAACACTAATTCTGACATTCCAATGTCTGAAAACATTCGTTTTAAAGCGTAGAGATTGTTTTAGCACAATGAATTGAGACGTCAATCAGTCATTTTGAAAATCAACCGAAGGCTTGCGTTCCCGACGTGTGAACTGTAGAATTTTGTTCTTGAGTCCAGAGTAAGTTTTTCTAAAATGAAGCAACAGTTACGAAAACACCATAGCTTGAATATTTCAGTAAAACATTTTGAACTTAGCAACACAATCCATGAAATCTACTTTTTTTATTCCGTGGAATTTTGCAGACTACGATTTTCATCAGCCTAATCTTTAATTGGTTGTAACAGGTGATGAAATAAAAGTCCTATACGAGGTTGGGCGTAGAAGATTAATTTAGTGTAATCGAAATTCTAACTTAACCTTGTGAGATACGTTTGGATGCCCTTTCCACTGTGAAAGCAAGTGTATTAGTCCTGCGCACTTACTCATGGCCAGTTTGTGGCTTTTATCCTAGTTTTTAGTCAAGATTTCGTCCTGTCAGTGAGCTATGCTGACAAGCGGCGAAGATAAGTGATTGCTTCTGTTTTCTGTCATTTAAAGTATTCTACCTTAGTTCAGTGATTAAGCTTTCACAAAGCTCTGTCATGGGTTTGTGAACGTCATACGAAAGTTGCTACGATGCTGTACTGGCTATGTCTGTACGTGTTAGTACTTGGTGTGTACGCCAATTTGTATGGTAGATTCATCTTGCTCCAGTAATACTTATCTGAATTGGCTCTTGACAGAACTGGCAACGTTCACTGTCGAGGGTAGATGAATGCTTTGAAAACGTTGTAATGCAGTGACTGGGCATGCATTTGACTGTGAAACTGAACATTGACGCAGCGCAGGTGGTAACGTAAGGATAAGTTTACTCCGAACAACTGCAACCAAGAAGATAGGGACCGATTCTACCGAAGTCGACAGAATTTGTCAGCTGGTTGTTGTAGAGGGTATTCGTTGTGAAGGCCACTTAAAATGTGAAGAGATTCGGAAATTTCTTCCAAGATTTCGTCCTGAAAATGATGCCTGGAAACTGTTTTAGCTCTATTGGGACTCATTAGCAGGGAACTTCGAACTTGTGGCCCAACGGTCAGTAGTTGAAGAGTATACCGTTCGGTAACGAGCGAATGATCATAAGGTGGCATTTGGTCAGGATATAGCACCTTATTGTATTGATTCGAATTGAATACCGACATCAGTAGTAGTTGCCTCAGACATTCACCTTATTGTATTGATTCGAATTGAATACGGACATCAGTAGTAGTTGCCTCAGACGTACTTTCTCCATTAAGTTATCGGACGCATGATGATAAGCATTCCCCACCTTTCAGCTGCAATGGATTATGTGCTTCCAAGCCTCATTTTGCAGCGCGGTGTTCGCAAGACCAACAAAGCCATGTCTTCAATGATATTTTTAAATACCGTATCGTGTGACAGCCGCAACGCTGTGAGGTAAGCATGAACTTATACCTATGTTCCACACTCACTCACTCAAATACTTGGAGCGAAATGGTGCTAGTCAAGCGGATGGCTTTTTCGAGCGATCGCATACTGACGGATCCCACTAGAAAGTTAAAGATGAACTTTTTTCCATGGTCCTCACTTCACCCTTTGTCACTTCCTCTAATTAACTGCGTCCAATAAGTTTCGTCCATGCAAAGAAAGAAGAGAAAGCGTTCAGCTGTAGCACCCTTCCGGTGCCTAACTGCCATGCCACCCGAAGGAAGCATGAAGGCTAGGATACTGCCAGGTTACCCAAGCCTAGACACGGGAAGTCGAGTGGCGGAGGTCGGATTCGAACCACGGACCTTCCGGTCAGTAAATTCGCGCTCTAACCACTTGGGCCATCTCGCCCATGCAACGCCTGCGGCATAATTAGGTGGTTCACCGCATTTATTCGAAATTGTCACCATGATCGCCGTAAATATGTGTTCAAGCATTACTAGACTTAACTACGCACCATGTTATTGCTTCATGAATGGGAATAGGTTACGTGTAAGCTGACTTTGTGTAGGAGTGGAATGAAATTTCCCGATTTTCTTGGTCCCTCCGAACGTCGTCCGGTATTTCGTATATTTGAATACACAGGAGTTGCTGTTGGTGGTTAAGATCTTTTAAGTGTGATCTAATCTACCTCTGTTCACTGACCTCTTGATTGAAAATGTGTGGTGACCCTCTACTTTGAGCAACCGAAGTGGACTCTTCGTGTTTCTCGGGCGATCGTGATATCGGGTTATTATTACTTTTTTTCGGACTCTTCAACACCGCGTTGCACCGAACCGATGTGGTATAGGTTAAAGCTGAGCAACTGCTTTTTTTGAAGTGCGGAGGCCATATATCGTGAATTCCAATGAAGTATACCAGTTTGAAAGTCTAGACTAAAACAGCGAATCAAAATATCTTAATTTGATGTGAGCCACCTTTGACTCGAGTCGACGGGTGGTTGTAGTGAGATAACCAGGTGTTGGTATTCTCTTAGAACCATAATGCTCGTCGTCACCATTGGAAACAGCAAGGTTAGTGCCGGTGCTTCGCCGCTGTACAACCACACGGTCTAATTATATTCAAACTTCTGAACAGAAAAAAGGATGTATAGGGGACGAACCCGGCACTACCTTTACACGAGCATCAAAAGCTCAGTCAGGCAATCTGGGAAGAAACCTACAGCACTGACGCCGGTTAGCTACTATTGAAAGGAACAAGGCCTTCGCCTTTATTCGGAAATGCCAACTGACCGGTTACAGACCATTGAACAGGGAAGCAAAACTCTAATCTGCATCTTAGTTACAAAACCTGGACACAGATCTCCCGAACGAGTCTTCCTAGAGATTCATTGACTCCAATCATTCGTCGATCAAATCCAAGCGAATGTTACAAAGTGGCCCCACGAATTCCGCAACAGAATTCCCTTTTTCAATCGATGCAAAGCGAAATTCTACGAACAACACATACTACTCGCGTGCCTCCCTAATCAGTAGTATCACCGTTACACACCTCCACACCTTAAAGCTCGTTCGCATGCCATCGATTTTCACTTACCTCCGTCAGGTCGGCTTCGGCAGTGGGTCTACTCGGCCGCTCTTCGGGTGTATCATGCCACTTGCGAAGCTGCGTCCCATTCACTACTTTCGATCCCCGATCATCTTGAATGGTGTAGACGTTCCCCCGGTGGTTGGTGACGACAAACGGCCCTTGCCATCGACTGCCCAGCTTCCGCGACCCCAGTCCACTCCTTCCAGGATTCTGATGATCCTTCCGCTTGACCTTCGTGCCTATGGGGAACGTTCGGACCTTTCTACTTGCCGTTTTCTGCCTAGTCCTTTCCTGAACGGCGGTCAAATTTTCTCGAGCTCTCTTTCTTTCTTCCTCTAGCTCCTCCGGAGACAAGCGTGTTGCCGGCCACAACCCAATTTCCTGATCAACCGGAAGGCGCGGATGTCGACCGTACATTAACATAAACGGGGACTTGCCTGTGGTTGACTGCGTGGAAGCACGATGAGCTAACAACACCATTGGCAAGTTCATTTCCCAGTCACCTCCTTTGGCCGCAAGCCACTCCTTGATCGTTCGGTTGTTACGTTCGGTCAGGCCATTTGTTTGCGGGTGGTATGGTGCCGTCCTTAGCCGTCTGATACCCAGCTTCTGCAAGCAATTACGAAACTCTTCGCTCTCGAAGCAAGGCCCCTGATCGGTTAGGATCATTTTTGGCACCCCATGGTTGGCCACAATGTGATGCATTACCACTCCGCTGATCGTCGTCGCCCGCTGATTCGGCACGGCTGCCGCCTCAATCCATCGCGACAGGTGTTCTGTCATCATCACGATGTATTGGTTCCCACTGGTTGTCACCGGAAAGGGGCCCATGACGTCAACTGACCACAACTCGCCGATTTCTGAGACAGGAATGGGTTCCATGGGATGGGTTGCCCCTGTCGTATCCGCTTTCATTAGTTGACAACGCTTACAGGACACCACATAATCCATCACCTCACTTCTCATCCCGGGCCAGTAGGCCCTCTGCCGAAGTAGGTCGTATGTCTTGGTGCACCCTGTATGTGCCATCTCATGGCATTCAACGATGAGATTCCGTCTCAAGACGCGAGGTATCACGGGCAGCACAACATCTGAATCAGTGGCGTTCCAGGAAATTATGCCAGCTTCATTCAGCCTCAGCCGATCAAAGTGACTCTGGAACGCTTCTAATTCCTTGTCTCCCTCTCCGTTCTCAATGTTCCTTCCATCCAACAAGGCGGCTGCAACCTTTTGTAACACCGGATCCTGCCGTTGGAGTTGCACCAACTTTCCGGGATCCAGTTCGACGACGAGGCCATTGGCTCCAATCATGATCTTGGGGACCTCATCTTCAGCCTCTGGCCTTGACAGCCAATCAGCCAAGTGGTTCTCCTTCCCGGGCACGTGCTGGATTGTGAAGTCGTACTCTTGCAACCGGAGTGCCCAGCGTGCGAGCTTCCCGCGAGGATCTCTGGTGGTCCTGATCCACTCCAGGGGTTTGTGATCGGTTTCGACATGAAACCTTTGCCCAAGCAGATATGGTCTCCACTTATCCAGGGCCCAGACGATCGCTAAACATTCCTTCTCAATGGTGGAGTACTTCTGTTCAGCGTTAGTCAGGACGCGACTGGCATATTCGATAACTCCATTCCTCTGCTTTAGGACTGCGCCGATACCGCGATCACTGGCGTCCGTTGCAACAATGAACATCTCTCCGACCCTGGGAAGTTTGAGGGTCAGTTGCTGATCCGACATCCGCGCTTTGACACGCTCAAAAGCTTCATGTGCTTCTCCGGTCCATTCGAATTTCCGATTTTGACCGAGCAAATCGTACAGTGGCGCAGCGATCTTGTTGAAATCCTTAACGAACCGGCTGTAGTATGCTGCTCGTCCAAGAAACTGCCGTAGAGACCGCTTTGAATTGGGAACAGCACAATCCTTGATCTTTGCTAATTTTTCGGGCAGTGGGCTAACTTCTCCCTCACCCACTTTATGCCCCAGCAGTGTCACCGAACTCCGAGCGAGCTGTGTCTTGGCTTCATTTATCCGCAGGCCAGCTTCCCGGATCCGCTCCAACACAGCCTTCAAGTGAACTACGTGCTCTGGTTCCGAATTGCTGTACACAACGATATCGTCTCCGTACACGGCAACATTCTGGAGTCCCTTGGTTACACGAAGCATCAAGCGCCGGAATGTGAATGGTGCCCCGGACAAACCAAACGGCATTCGTCTAAATTGATATTGGATGTCCCCAACCGTAAACGCCGTTTTCTCCCGGTCCTCCTCCTTGATAGGTAGTTGCCAATATCCGGAACGCAAGTCGAACACAGTAAAGTATCGGGAGTGCTGGAGGGAATCGAAAATCTCTGCAACCGAAGGCACAGCCACAACCCGATTTACGGTCAGTTCATTCAAGCGCCGGAAATCCACGCAAAACCTGTATTTTCCGTTCGTCTTCCTTACAAGCACAACTGGGGAATTGTACGCACTGTTGGCTTCTTCGATTATACCATTCTTCAACATCTCCTGAATCTGTCTATGGACCTCCTCCCGTAGATGGAGCGGCAACGGACGGGGGCCATAAGGTCGAAAGCGTTCTGATGACAGAGGAATTTCGTGTTCAATCCACGGGCAGAAGCCAAACGGATCCTCATCGCCCGTAAACAGTTCGGAATATTCCTCAACCACGGCCCGTATTGACGATACATTACAAGACGGAAGTTTTCGGACACACAGCTCCCTCACGACAGTGCCTGGATAACCTTCAAGCTTGATTGCGCCATACTTTGTCACCAGCCTTCCCTGCTTTAGGTCAATCACGGCATCTGTGCCCTTGAGAAAATCAGCTCCCAATATTGTCTGCTCTACGTCTGGGCTGATCAGGAACGCGTGCTGCACGGACTTGTCGCCTAGGCGTATCGAGTGCGTTGACAGTCCGTCAATCTTCAATCGATATCCGCCAACAGCTCTCACGGCTAGCGCGCACGGTCTGTGTTCAGCTTGGTTCCCTCTTTGCCTCAGCGATACGCCTGCTCCGGTATCAATCAAACATAACTCCTTTTTCCCGTCTACCTCGACAATGGCTTGTACGGTAGCTTGTGTCAGTGCGCTAATCGCGACCCACCCAGGAAAAGAGGAGTACTCTAAAGTTTTATTGTGTACAAGCGATCGGTTACGGGGACACTGATTCTTCCAGTGGCCAGGCCTGCCACACATGTAGCACCGGCTGGTTCGAGTGTGCCTCCGCGATTCCGTCTTCACGGCCGCCAGCTGTTCGGTGAGTTGGTCCACCCTGGTCTGCAGTTCCTCCACTGATGCAGCATCCCTGTTCTCCTGCGACTGCAACGTGGCCAGTGGTTCCTCGGGCAGCTCCCGGGCCAGACGCACCAGCTCCTCCACACTCAACTGGCCAGTTGCTCGTG